TGTGATTCAGCAAGCAGCACTATCTCTGCAGACAGATAACTTTCTAAAGGAAAATAAGCAAAACCTTACTATCTAAAAGTTACCAACTGAAAACTGACAGGGGTTTCCCAATGACATTACTGGAGGGGGTATTAGGTTGCTGCTGAAGCATCCTTCTAAGAACCTCCCCCCCCCTCCAAACACACACACACACACACACACACACTCACTTTTCCCAATCTGCATTCAGATTTCCTTACAGAAGAATTGGTCTTAAAAGAACTGCAAAAGCCACATCCATATTGGAGTGGGGGTGACTGCCGCCGTCATGGTCTCCCTGCCCCAAGATACACACCTGTTTCGCACATCTGTGACACGGATGGGGGCCAGCAGGCTGAAGGTGGATTTGGTGGAGGCAGCCAGGCAGTGTTCACAAGCCATTCCACGTCTCTGAAGCTGTGTGTCGCTCCAGCTGCTGCCTGCTCTTGGAAACCCCCTCCGAGGGCTGAACTTGTAGCCCGCGCAATCTGGGTCAATCCTATTAGTTGTCCTCAGAGAAGGAAAGGAGCCCTCAAGTTCCAGAGGAGGTGGAGGATGGGAGTCCACGACCTTGGACAACTTCCTGGGCAAAGCTGAAAAGCTGGGTCGGCTTTGGCTGAGGTGGGGACCCTCGGAGCCCGAGTTCAAGTCGTGCCGAGGCTGCAGGTGGTGGTGGTTGCCGCTGGAGGCGACTTCCTGCTTGGTGGGGCTCTCTCCCTGGAAAGAACCATTGGAGGAGCCCCCCTCAGTTGAATCCACCGAATTCCCTTGATTCATTCTGAAAGGCCGCCTCCTTCTCTGCCAGATCAGTTCGTCCAGAGACGACGTCCGCTCCAGCCTCGGTTTACGGGGAGGCTTTGGAGTGAATGACTTGAGCCCAGCTGGGGCTTGGGATCCTTCTAGCTGCAGTCTGAAAGGATCGCTGGGAAAGGGCAGCTTGACTTCTGGTGGGTCCCCGGAGAGATGATCCCCACTACTGCCTGCCTCTTTCCGTGAAGAGCAGCCGTCCTCCTTTGGCTGCCGGATTTGGGGCCCATCGCTTGAGAGATGCTCCATTGTCTGCTAGGAGAATCCATTAGATGCACCAACTAGGAGGAAGTCACAGAATCGCTATTCCTCACTAGCCAAGTTTTCATCTCAGAGGAAAAACCTGAAGAGGAATATGAGAAGAGGAATCTTTAGGGAAAGAACCCTAAAAGTGCTACCCAAGCTGGAGTGGCACTTTGTACTGTCCCCGGAAACGTTAATGATGGAGGTTAGCCAAGCCTTCTGCTTTAATTACAAAATTTTGAAACCACCCAATGGATCCACTCTCAAAAGATGCTTCTAGTATTAATGTTGGGTCATTCCCATTTTATAGATCAGAGGTTTATGAAACAGATCAGAATTGTAGGAAATTATGATTAGGGTAGATTCATCTCAAAGAATACTATTTATCCCACGATTTTAACTAGATGATGATGAAAATGCAAGGCACTGCTTCCATAATTTATACACACTCTTTAAAAGAGACTGTAGTTTATACCCAGCAAAGTATCAGATGTCAAGGCAGAGATATCAAAGTGGGAAAAATACATTTATGGTTGTAATCACAATTGCAACCATAAATGTTACTAATACACAATTGGTGATGGAGCACCGGGGAACTACCAGAGGATTAGAAAAGAGCTGACATTGATTTCTGTCTTCAAAAGAGGAAGGGAAATGGTTCCAGGAAACTATAGAATGGGAATACTACTTGGGAAAATGCTGGAAAAGACAATCAAACAATGAATCAGCCAATACCTAAAGGCAAGCAAAGTTATAATCTAAGGCCAACATGGGTTTGTCAAACCCAGATCACGTCAGACAAATCTTACTGCATTCTTTGACAAAGTGGCTAAATTAGACCACAGAAATGCTGTGGACATAATTTAATTGGATTTCAGTAAGGTATTTGATAAAGTAGACCACAACCTACTACTTTATAAGATAGAAAAAGGGTTAGACATTATCATCAGATGGATTCCTAAGTGGCTGACCAACCACACTCAATGTGTAGAGTCCTCAACTGAACTACGTCTACACGGAGGGAAGTATGCAATGGGTTACCCCAAGGTTCTTGTTTGGCCCAGTATTCTTCCATATCTTCATAAATGATTTAGATGAGGGGATAGAAGGGGAACTTATCAAATTTGCACATGACACCAAGAAAGATCTTGAAAGACTTGAACACTGGGTCCCTTCTAACAAAATGAAATTCAACAGTGAGAACAGTAAGGATTTACAATTAGGCAAGTAAAATCAAGTGTACAGGTATAGAATAGGTAGAATCTGGCTCAACAGCAGTAACAGTAACTGTGAGAGTGATCCAGTTCTAGAAAACAACCATTTAAATATGAGCCAGCAGTATGTTGCAGTCATCAAAAAAGGCAATTAAAGAGGGATAGAATCAAGATCACATGAAGTGTTAGTACCACTTTATAAGTAGTAAGATCACACTTGAAATGCTGCATCCAGTTTTGGTCGCCATGCTATAAAAAAAGATGTTGAGACTGTAGTATCAATGCAGAGAATAGCAACAAAGATTATTAGGAGGCTGGCGGCTAAAACATATGAAGAACGGCTACAGGAATTGGGTATGACCAGTCTAGAGAAAAGAAGGACCAGGGGAGACAGGAAAGCCCTCTTCCAATTCTTGAGGGAGCTGCCACAGAGAGGAGGAGGGGCTCAACCGATTCTCTAAAGCACCAGAAGGCAGGACAAGAATCAATGAATGGAAACTCATCAAGGAGA